AGTGGCCTTGCCCCTCCCCCCTCTCCCCGTCGGCTCTGTGGCTGAGTCGATGCGAACGTTTCGTAATGCCGAGGTGTTGGGTTCGATCCCCTGCGCCTTGCGTTGGTTTAGACAGTGGTATCAGGTGGCCGACTGTCCAGAAAGCAATGGCAAACTACTGGACGTAAATTTGCCTAAAGAGATTACACAACAGCCAGGAGCTGCTGGGGTTGGTTCTGCAACGTCCTGTAAAGGATACGCAACTAACCATAAGTGGCCCTATAGTATGTGTGAGTGGAGAAGGGACCAAGAAACCAACTACGATTGTAAAAAGCATGCTGTTTAAAACCTGCTAATTAGCGGTGTTCTCTTAGAAATTTGAGTCCATGTGCCTGAGAGGCGATTGACCAATAGTCTGCACACAAATAAGATGTACACAACGGACGTGCACGCAATACTCAAGTTTTGAAACAAGACTAATCAAAGTCCACAAGTGGAAGAAAAACTATAACTTTCCTCTAGAGTTTACAGCCAGTGAGCACAAAAACGAAGAACCTCACTTAGCTATAAAAATGCATGTGGTAATGTCAGTGCAGTCGGCTCTGTGGCTAAGCCAATGCAAACGCTTCGTAATGCCGGGATGCAGGGTTCGATCCCAGCTGCGGGCCATGCGCCTTGCGTTGGTTTCGAAAGTGGTATCAAGAAAGTCGACCGTCCAGAAAGCAGTAGCAAACTGCTGGACGTAAACTTGCCTAGAAAAACCATACATCAGCCAGGGGCTGTTGGGGTTGATTCTGCAACGTCCTGTAAAGGATACGCAACTAACTAAAAAAATGTCAGTGTAAAATATACCAAGTGTGCAGGTCTCAACAGATCAATAATGCAGCAGCGAGGGCATTCAATTAAGCCCGTGAGAAAAGTCGAGAAGGGGAAAATCTTCGTCCCCGGGAAAAGGCCATCTGGCACTGGTGTCACATTCTTCTACACTATGGGAGTTCATTGGTCCCACAGTCGTCGCACACAGCACACTCACACAGTGACACACTTGTACACACATTGCTCACCACACATTATACAGTTGAAGTAGGTAAAGGTCCTTTCAACACCTGCTTAATCAAAGTCTCTATATCAATACCAAGATCAAAATATATAAAACGTTGGCAGGACCAGTCATTTTATACGGCTGTGAAACTTGAAGCACAACTAAAAGAGATGAAGCCTTGTTACAAAGTTTCGAAAACACTGTTACGACGAATCTTTGGACCCATCAAAGATGCAAACAACGGGGAATGGAGACTGAGACGCAACAACGTAATTCATAATCTGTTTAAATCGCCATTGATCACTGGCATAAAGAGGTCTAAAGGATTGAAATGGCTGCGACATATTGAGAGAATGTCAGATGACAGAGAAGTAAAAACTGTATAAAAAAAGGAGCTGGATGGTCATAGACCACGAGGCAGACAAAGAAGACGATGGAGAAATAATGTCCAGACAGACCTGCAAACACTTGGTGTCAGTCACCAACTGAGAAGAAAAGGCAAACTAGAGAGATGAATGGAGGTGGTTGATATCTGTAGCGATGATGAACTCAAGGGCTTGGAATGCTGAAGAAAGAAGAAGAAGAAGAAGACGACGAAGAAGCAGAAGAATCAGCGGAAGAAGAAGAAGAAGAAGAAGAAGACGAAGAAGCAGAAGAATCAGCAGAAGAAGAAGAAGAAGAAGAAGAAGAAGAAGAAGAAGAAGAAGAAGAAGAAGAAGAAGAAGAAGAAGAAGAAGAAGAAGAAGAAGAAGAAGAAGAAGAAAAGGCAGAAAAAGCAGCAGAAGAAAAAGAACAAGAACAAGAAGCAGCGGAAGAAGAAGAAGAAGAAAAAGAAGAAAAAGAAGAAGAGGAAGAAGAAGAAGCAGAAAATGAAGAAGCAGAAGAAAAACAAGAAGCAGAAGAAAAAGCAGAAGAAGAAGAAGAAGAAGAAGAAGAAGAAGAAGAAGAAGAAGAAGAAGAAGAAGAAGAAGAAGAAGAAGAAGAAGAAGAAGAAGAAGAGAAGAAGAAGAAGAAGAAGAAGAAGAAGAAGAAGAAGAGGAAGAAGAAGAAGAAGAAGAAGAAGAAGAAGAAGAAGAAGAAGAAGAAGAAGAAGAAGAAGAAGAAGAAGAAGAAGAAGAAGAAGAAGCAGAAAAAGAAGAAGAAGAAAAAGAAGAAGAAGAAAAAGAAGAAGCAGAAGAAGCAGCAGCAGCAGAAGAAGAAGAAGCAGAAGAAGAAGAAGAAGAAGAAGAAGAAGAAGAAGAAAAGGAAGAGAAGGATTCTTTCACCCGCTAGCTGCGCATGGGGATATGCGCACGGACAGATACTTTAACAAACCATCATTTCAACGGGTGATGTGCTCAACATGGCCACCTTTACTTCCCAGGATTGTAGCTGGTACTACCAGGTACTCATTTCAGTCTGGGTCGACATGGAAGCTACTATGATGAAAGAGGGGAAAGGGGGGGGGGGGGGGGGGGGGGGAGAGAGAACGGCTCCAGTATGGATTTGAATACACACTCTTCAGATCCACAGGTGAGCCATTTAGCCACCATGAATCGGCGAATCTTTATTAAACAGTTGTTAATAACAGATTTATATCCCGTCTCCGCAGTCAAGTTGGCTACACTGCATCCTTTGGATCGTCATCATCATCATCATCATCATCATCATGTAGCAGACCTTCTGCAGAACGTCGCCCTTATCACGGTCTGCCTGCCTGCAGAAATTCGGTCTCACGTGCAAGCTTTTCCGCCTCGTGCGCTCTCGTACCCAAATTGTCACTTATAACCTCTGCCCATGTTCGCGCTGGTCGGCCCCTGCCCCTCTTAACTGGTACGATGCCTTCTCCTTTAAAAAAAAAAAACTATTTTGGTTTTTTGATATCTTGATATTGATGCATTATAAAGTTGTAACCATAACTTTAAAACTTCATTTTACGAAATGAAGAACATTTCAGGGAATAAATCCATGTTACTGGAGGTTAGAAAAACAATCTCGTATGTTATATAGAGCCAGTTTAAACACGTGGCTGTGAATCCTGGACAGTAAATAAACAAGCCAAAAAAGATCCTGAGTCCTCAGAGATGTGGTTTTACAGAAAAATCTTCATAATCCATTTGACAGCCAAAAAGTTTTTGAAGAGGCAAGGGTTCCAAGATACCGTATCATAAACAGCAGAATAAGATAATCATCATTTTTGTTTGTGTTGTGAGTCAAAGACAAAAATTGAACTTGTTGAGATCACTGGAAAGATTTGTGAGAAACGAGAAGGCGTTTTTGTGTACATCTGGCCAGAGAACACTGAAAAAAAAAAAAAACATGATCAGTGACCACTTCCTGTTTGTATTTGGTCTCTTTGACAGTAAAGGCATACTAGTTTTTTTTTTTTTTTTAGATGTTTTTCTTGGTTTTCTCCTGCGAAACTTCTTGCGGTTGAAAAATAATGTCATGCAAACAAAAAATAGGACTAGAAAGTTTCACAATAAGACAGTCACGAACGAATACAAATGAACATTGCGGCTAGAAAACCTTCACCAGTGTAAGACAAAAACGAGCAATGACATATTTGAAAACAACAATACATAAAATCACGTAGACTTACGGCGAGACCTATCGTACACTCTCCATCCATAATTTAGCATAATTGGGCAGTAGAATCTCAGTGTTGACGTGTCGTAGGAGTAAAATACTGGGCAGAAGGCGGTTGTGATTGTGAAAGTATTCAGTGTGTTTGGTGATGTTTACCTATGTTCCTCTCTAGCTTTTCAAGTAATTTGCGTCTCGTCTTCTTAATCAGTCGGCGTCTGAGGCTTAGGCATTGCGAACGAGCTTCGTAATGCCGAGGTGCCGGGTTCGATCCCTGCTGCGGGCCTTGCGCCTTGTGTTGGTTTCGACAGGTATCGAGAAACTGACCACTCAAAAGCAATGACAAATTACTGAACGTAAAATTTGCCCAGAAAAACCACAACAGCCAAAAAATACTGGGGTTAGTTCTGCAACGTCCTGTAAAGGATACGCAGCTAACTTTACTTCTTTATCTGAAGCATAGTTATAAAATTAAATCATTGCTTGTCTTCCTTCTTCTTCTTCTTCTTCTTCTTCTTCTTCTTCTTCTTCTTCTTCTTCTTCTTCTTCTTCTTCTTCTTCTTCTTCTTCTTCTTCTTCTTCTTCTTCTTCTTCTTCTTCTTCTTCTTCTTCTTCTTCTTCTTCTTCTTCTTCTTTTTCTTCTTCTTCTTCTTCTTCTTCTTCTTCTTCCGTTCGCTTGAAACAGATTATCTTTATTTGCATTGTTGTCTCTAGTATGAACTTTACAGTCTTTTGTAATTCACTCAACGACCTGTAATGTTTGACTTGCACCGATGTTTTTCTTAGCCGAAAGTTTAGCCTTGGTATATTTTATTTGGGACAGTCTCGGAGGATATGATGGTGTCTCAGGTGCCAATCCATACGTGCACATGGCTGATTCGTTCTTCATTTGCACCTTCCTTAGCTAGTTTATTATCTAGCTAAGGAAGGTGCAAATGTTGGCTATAGCTTGTAGCGAACTTGACAGCCTAATGGTATTATTCATATATGCCTTTGGGTTACCTGGCTCTCAATGATTTTCCTACACAGTGTCTGCATCTTTTTTTTTTTCCACTTTTATGATTTTTTTTCTCATAATGCTTCGCATTAGAGATTAATTTGCTATACCATTTAATGTTTGTTCTTTTCACGGACATCACAAAATATTTTTTTATTTAGTATTAATCTGTGACCCGATTGATTTTTTAAATTTTGTCTAATGTGTTAATTTTTACTATTTCAGATACAATATTAAGACGAAACGACGTTCCAAGAAAGATCTGGTATGGTGACATTATTATCAGCTGGACGTTTAGTATTACGACTTTTGTTTTGTTTTGTTAGGCCTTCACAATTATATCTAAAGGTAACGGACAGTTTGTGAGAGCGAGAGAATCTCCAGGGAGATTATAAACATTGGAAAGCCAGCCAAACGATGAAGTCAAGCCGACGCAAACAGACAAATCCTAACCGAGTCGCTGCAGGAACTGTGGACACTAGCTCTGTTGTTGTGCCGCTTCTTGGTGATACGCCAGTTAAAGAAGACGAGGCAGTTGACGAGATCGTTAATGACATGGAAGAGAGCCGTTCTCCTCAACCCTTACTAACCCGCTGTCCCAGTTCGGATTTCGAGCTGCCGTTAGACATGCATGTATCAACGCATACCGGTTCTCTTTGCTTTGACAGTTTTTCTAGAAAAAGCAGCCCACAAGAACACGAAAGAGAATTCCAGGGGTCTCTGGTAAAGAGACCACGACTGCAAGCTCCAGGGGAGGATTTCCCAACAGCTTATCACAGACTGGGCAGACAACTCCTAGAAATAAAGAATGAACCTTTGGCTAATGGTAATCTAGGTGATGAGTTGTCTTCTACCCAGATTTTAGATTCAGCTTCACAAGAACACGAAGCAGAATTCCACGAATCTCTGATGAAGAGACAACGATTGCAAGCATCCGGCGAGGATTTCCCAACAGCTTATCATAGGCTTGGCAGACAACTCCTAGAAATAAAGAATGAAACTTTGGCTAATGGTCATCTAGGTAATGAATTTTCCTCAGCCCAGCTTCAAGATTCAACTCCCTCCCCAAAGGATATGATCAATTCTTTGTCGGCATTACTTCCGGCTTCTGATAAGCCGGAAGAACAAACAGTATTTTCAGAACTTTCTCAAGCACCAACTCCAATATCCCTTAAACTTAACAAGGACATCAACGGTGAATCAGTCAGTGGCAAAACGGACAGAATCTTCCACATGGATGCCTACTGCGATCTTTGTGATCGAGAATTCTGCAACAAGTATTTTCTAAAGACTCATAAAGCCAACAAACATGGTATTTACGAAGACAGCTCTCCTCCTGCTGGTAATCTTCCCCTACCTTACACTGGCTTGATGATCCCACAGGATCCCTTGGCTTCGTTCAATTTTAAGATGGATTCGGTGAAGCCCCCTTTATCTGAACCTCTCTTACCCTGGTCATTTAAACTGGACTCCTCATCACAGGCGAAGAAGCCAGAGGATACAGCAAGCATGAAGTCTGCAGCTTCTTCTGTAAATATGTTTCCCGTATCGTGTACATCAAGCACAACATCTGCAGAACCATCTCTAAAGATGTGTCCCATACCTTTACCACAGATGGAAAGTCCTAAACCTGCTGTAAGCAAAAGCAGCATCATCAGCAGCAGCAGTAGTGGGGGTGGCATGCCTCGAACCTCAGATATTGTATCTATCAACACCTGTAACGCTACAACAATACTCACAAACATCACCAACAGCATCAAGAGCGAGATATCCTCCAGCGGAGCCCCACCAGCCAATGACTCCAGCATGGAAGATTACTGCCATATTTGCCAGAAGCACTTCTGCAATAAATATTATCTCAGGAAACACAAACAGGATGTGCACGGCATAGCGCCTGAAAACCCTCCTAGCAACTCCAATAAAAGGTCTAGGTCTGGTCTTCTAGACCTGCCTATGACATCAACTAACCACATGATGCTGCCACAACCCTTGGTTAGTCTAGCAGGAATGCACAGTCTTCCAGGCATGCACGGAATGCCAATTATGTCGAGTATATCCAACATGACCAATATGCACCCAGGCCTGATGGTCATTAACCCTTATAGTCTACCTCCAGTTGCCATCATTCCTGCAGGCTCCCTAATGCCTGGCCAACAACTGGCACCCCCTCCACATCCCATGAGAAGCCAGTCTCTAGGCATGAATCCAATGTCAGAACCCAATATACTTTCAAATCCCCCTCAAACTTCTGTATCCTCAATGAATGGACATGCATCTACTCATTCTCCAAAGTCTAGCCCGAATGTCTACGAGGGTGGAGTACACTGCAATATATGCGCCAAAGAATTTTGCAATGAATTTTATTTGCAGATACACAAGGAGAGTAAACACGGAATTCGGAAACATAACGAAGAAGAGCCTCGAGATAAAGCTATTTCCTTAGTGAAAGATAAGAACACAGACAATACAAGTCCCCAGTCGGTGTCTCACAATGCGAGAAGCGAGTCTGCATCTATGATGCCAAGATCTCCCTTCGATCGGACACCTAGTGCTGAAAGTAATATGTTCATTTGTAACTTCTGCAACAAAGACTTCTCCAATAAATATCTTTACAGGATCCATCGCATTCATGATCACGGCATGAATGAACTTATTGATCCAACCCTTGTGGAAAACGGTGAACTCCCTCACAGAGAGCATATCCTCAACAGTATGAACGAATCTCTGAGAATGGCCACTGATGCCTGCTTTGCTTCCAGCTTTGAGAATCCTCCTTCCAATAAAACTCAGGAAAGTGTAGTTTGTGAAATTTGCAATAAACAGCTTACCAACCAGTATTTTCTGCGCCTTCACAAGTTTCACGTCCACGGTGTAGACCCGAATGCTAATGAGAAATATAACACTAAGCCAGACAACTCTCTTCTCATGTCCGTTTGTAGACCCAAGACACCGCCAACGTCAGGCAGCTTCTTAAACTCCTCACTTAGTCAACAGTCTTTGAACCTGACCTCGGCGTCTGGGAAGCAGCCGTTGCTGTCATTTCTCCCACCAAAAATGGATTTCAAAGACATGCCACCTTACCCAGATTTCAGCAGAGATTTCAAAAGTTTCAGGGACATGCCTCCTTTCCTTGTTGATTCACTCGGCAGTGATCTGTTTAGAAGGTCTCACAATCAAGTAATGCACATGGATCTCAATTTCTTTGGCTTGCCTTCTCTAGGAAAGTTACCAATGGATGACAGTGTCAAACTCAACTTTGACCCGGAAGCTTACTGTGAGATTTGCAAAAAGGAATTCTGCAGCAAATATTTTCTTCGCACTCACAAACAAAATATTCATGGTATTAAAAATGATGCGATTCCTTCTTCTAATTCAAAAAGTTCAGACGGTGATAAATCTAGCACATTATCGCCTCCAAAACCGAATTTGAACATCAGTAATGGAAAACCCTTAGATAGCCTAGACAAAAACCCTTGGCGATGGAAGGAGCCAATAAATTCTTCTCGAGTTATTTGCGACATTTGTAATAAAGAAGTTTGTAACAAGTATTTCCTACGAACACACAAACAGAAGAAGCATGGGATAATCCCCACATCACAGTCGCCAAACGTCAGCATGAACGGGTCACCAATAGCTTGTGATTGCGACACTGCATCTAACACTTCAAGCCAGGCTGATGAAAAACCTTTCAAGATGGATCCACTTATTCTGCCTCAGATGATTCCCCTTCCTCCAACAGAGAGATTGTCAGAGAAGTTCAACATGAAACATTTACACTTTGGAAACGGTAATAGCAATAAAGAGATCTCCCTCAATAACAATACAGAACAATGCGAAACTTGCAACATTTGTAACCGAATGTTTAAGAACCTGAAGTGGTTGAAAGAACACATTATGAAAGATCACTCGAACAATGAAGCCTTAAATATGAGCTCTAAGAAATCCTCCTCTCTGTTCACCTGTAAGGTCTGTGGGGTCGACTTTCCAGCAGAGCTCTCTGTCCAGCTGCATTTGATTCAAGAGCATAATGCAAGAGTTACGCTTGACACTGAAGAGTCACAAATTCCAACGGAGGAAGCTAATTTGCCAGCTAGTGAAGGCAACAGTACTAGAGTAGCTGAACTGTACGGGAGATGGACGCTGAGGAAGAAGGTTACAAATCACCAGAGACTGAAAAAATATGTTTGCAACAGATGCGGCTTTGACAGCCATTGGTTGTCGTCCTTGTTGGACCATGAGAGAAATGAACATGGCTTCATTTCAGATGAAGCGCCTTCATACTGTTGCAAAAGTTGCCGCCACCTCTTCCCATCTTTAAACTCGCTGTCTGCTCATTTGATCTCCATTCATGAACTCAACATTGACGAAGCACTTCACGAAGTCAAATTCGCAGAACCAACATTTCCTAACAGTTATAAATGTGCGCATTGTCCCGCTGTGTTCCCTACTCGATCTTGGGGCATGGCTCATGTACGGCACGTTCACATTCGTAGCCGTAAAGATTTAGCCGTTAAAAACTCATTCGTGAAGAATGTGTTCCGATGTTCTTTTTGCTGCTTCAAAACTCATTTCGCTTTCCGCCTTCAGCAACACATCAAATGTCGACACACGACAAGTTCACGACCAGTGTATCCATCTTCTCGGATTTTAAAACCTTCTTCAGCGTCCAACTTAAATTTTCACAAGTCTTATGACGTTTCAAGCCCAGACGACACATCCCGGGAGGACAGCACATTAATGAGTGCCAGCTCCATGTACAAGAGCATCACTGTTTCGCTTCTATCAGGCCCAGAATGCGACGGGGTGAAGACTCCTACAAAAGCACTGGACACAGAGACCCTTCTGTTGCATAACTATAAACTGCCCATCTGCTCCAGTCCTGTTGATTCTGCATCATTCAAAATGGCTCTTCAGACATCTGCTTCGGCTGTGGTTAGTTTGTGAAGCTTACTGTGACGATTTGATTCCCTACTTTTCATTCCACTCATCCTCAATTCTTGTTCCAACACCAGCACCTAAATTCCCAGATGTTTGCTGTTCATTCAATTATAATCTTACCTGATGAGGATCTTGAAAGATGTTTCTATATATAAGTTATTACATTGCCCCCTAACGCGGGGAATATATATTTAATGTGTATTAATATAATGTGAATTATTTTATCTAGCCTGCCCCTTTGCATTTGCATTTAAAACATAATTATTATAAAGCAATTTAGTTAACAGATTAATTTGTTCATAAAATGTAAATAATGTTCATATGGGGTTTCATAGTTGGGTAGATTTAATCATAATGTTCTTTAATCACTAAGTATCTTCTGAAGTATGGTAGATCATTTTTGCTTTAGTTTTGAGTGGCGAATTATATTTAAATCTGCTTTGATTGTGGTTGTGATATAGTTTCACCCCTTCACATACTTTTAATAGTTTTCTTTCACACCCAGTGTTCTGCAGCGTTTCTGTCGTTCAACCATGCGTGCAGTGATTGACACCGATTTTGGAGTGGTGAAAAATTGAATTGATACCTTCTGTAGGGATGAAACAATTTATATGTTTACATTATGTTCATGGTTGTTGTGAATGTGTAAACATGTACCGCATGTAAACACAAACAACGTATAAATTTACAACGTACTCAGAGTCTGAATTCCTCAATTCCCAAGTAGTGGTCCACTGACACCTCATTCATTTCAAAGGTCTGTCGCGGATCCCATACATTTTATTAGTCATATTTAAAAACAAATGAACGCTAAAATTGTGCCAGACAAACAAAAACGAATTTAATAAAAGATTATAAAAAGAGTGCATAGAAGAATCGCAGAAAGGAGGGTTATAGATTTTATATATATATATATATATATATATATATATATATATATATATATATATATATATATATATATATATATATATATATATCACTTACTACCAATTGAGCTCCACTGCTTTACTACGATATGGGGTCTAGCTACATAAGTGTAACACACGTGCTTAGGGCGTGAATGTGTCCTTCACTTTGCTTTTGCGTGCGTTCCCGCGGGAATGAGCCCAGCTGTTGCCTGTCTGTATGCCACAACCTGTAACCAAACTCTTGTGTAGTTCACCATGGAGTGTTCTCATCGTTCATGTTTGTCGTTTCAATCTGTGGCTGCGGTATTTCAGTTGTAATAATTACCGGTAAATAGGCTCTGATTGTCCCTTTGTGGCTTCCGGGGCCCCATTGCGGGGTGGGGGAAGGGAGACTTAACCTCCCCCCCCCCTCCTCTCCTCATAAACATGCATGGCGTTAGTTTCGGTGGACCAGGAGGTGGAGAAAAAAAAAAGACGCTGGCGTTGGAAAGGCCACACGTTGAAAAAACTTGAGGACAATATAACTAGAATGTATTTGCAATGGAATCCACAGCGGCTTAGAAATAAAGGAAGACAGAAAACACGGAGAAGGGAGAAAGACCGTGAAGTTAAACAGATGGTGTGGACATGGGGAGAGCTGCATGTGATAGCCAAGGAAAGAACGACTTGGCGTAAGTTGGTTGATGGCCTATGCTCCACTGGGGTCTAGACAGGCAGAAAAAGAAGATAAAGTAAATGGTAATTATGGTAAGGTACTTAACTATATCTTCTTCGCGAGTTTGAACAGGGTATCTGAGCGTTGCCCTGTTGGACTGTCATCCACATTACAACTCAGCTGACCGCTAATGTGTCAAAACTTCGCGTATGCTTGGGGAGGATGAAATAAACGCGCTGTGAATTTTTTAGCTTTTAAAATTGGTTTACAACTAAAAGAATGTATTTTCACAGTCCAGTCTGGAAAAATAGAAGTTACAGGGACCTAAGAAAATGCTTTCACTTATCAGGACTTATACTTATCCAGACAGCACACACAACAGGGAATGTAATATCATCTCGGTAGGACATCCTTTGTCATAATGCATTCATGCAAACACATGGCATAAACGTTTGTTGTTGACAGTGAATGATATAGATGACATACCTCTATCTGTTTATCGGTTTCTTTCAACAGACACTGAAAGATAAGATAAAGCAGTCTTCTGTTTATCAGTCTTACACCCCAACAAACACTGAAAGATAAGAAAACTGCCTCTCTCTCTCTCTCTCTCTCTCTCTCTCTCTCTCTCTCTCTCTCTCTCTCTCTCTTTCTCTCTCTCTCTGTATGTCTGTCTCTCTCTCTCTCCTATCTTTCTCTTTCTCTCTCCCTCTCTCTCTCTCTCTCTCTCTCTCTCACACACACACAGCAAACACTAAAATAATAAGACAACTGTCTCTCTCTCTCTCTCTCTCTCTCTCTCTCTCTCTCTCTCTCTCTCTCTCTCTCTTCCCCTCTATCAACAAACTTTAAAGGACCAGAAAGCCCCCCCCCCTCTCTTTCTGTGTGTGTTTGTGTATCTCTCTGTCTCGGCAAACACTGAAAGATAAGGAAACACTCACTCACTCTCTTTTTCTCTTCTTCTCACTTAACAAAGAAACACTGAAAGATAAGGAATATCTCCCTCTCTCTCTCTCACTCTCACTCTCTCTCTCTCTCTCTCTCTCTCTCTCTCTCTCTCTCTCTCTCTCTGTCTATCTCTCTCTCTCTCTCTCTTAACGACCAATGAAAGATAAAGAAGCTGTATATCATTACTACTAAGCAGGCTTTCAGGAGTCATTTCTGCACGTTTACATGCAGTTTTAATGTATTCATTACTTGTGCCGTTATTGTTGAAGAAAAAGCAATAAAATATATGAAGAAAAGAATATAACAAAGGAGTGGTCAAGATTAAACTCAAATAGTCAAGACCAGGAGAAAACAAACACTCTTTTACATAAACTTTACATTATCAACAAGAATTGTTAAGTATCTGTTAAACTCAGTGTGTAACATCGGATACGTTCAAGAAAGGTCAAGAGATACGATAAATGTCTGGGCTTTACCCGTGTGATCAACAGTTACAAGACTTAACCCACGGAATCAACAGTTACAAGACTTAACCCACGGAATCAACAGTTACAAGACTTAACCCATGGAATCAACAGTTACAAGACTTAACCCATGGAATCAACAGTTACAAGACTTAACCCATGTGATCAACAGTTACAAGACTTAACCCATGTGATCAACAGTTACAAGACTTAACCCATGTGATCAACAGTTACAAGACTTAACCCATGGAATCAACAGTTACAAGACTTAACCCATGTGATCAACAGTTACAAGACTTAACCCATGGAATCAACAGTTACAAGACTTAACCCATGGAATCAACAGTTACAAGACTTAACCCATGGAATCAACAGTTACAATACTTAACCCATGGAATCAACAGTTACAAGACTTAACCCATGGAATCAACAGTTACAAGGCTTAACCCATGGAATCAACAGTTACAAGACTTAACCCATGGAATCAACAGTTACAAGACTTAACCCATGGAATCAACAGTTACAAGACTTAAACCATGTAATCAACAGTTACAAGACTTAAACCATGTAATCAACAGTTACAAGACTTAAACCATGTAATCAACAGTTACAAGACTTAACCCATGTAATCAACAGTTACAAGACTTAACCCATGGAATCAACACTTACAAGACTTAACCCATGAAATCTTTATCCAATTTCCCATGTTCGGTAAATGTAGGATTACATTTGATCCATAATATTGAATTAATTGCATAGAATAGAATCTAATGCAGGTAATAGAACGTGAGTCGTATACTCGTACATGTAATGGCATGACGGGGTGGTTGTGATGATGATGATAATGTGGATGATGATGATGGTGGTGCTTATCATATATACACAACCTTGGTATATGGCGCTGAAACCTGGATTGAGGTCATGGGTATGTTAATACACAATAGAATAGATCACATTTTATGAGGTGGACGGTATCAGATACAGAGATTTCAAATGGTTGGATGAAAAAAGAACCGTTGAAAAAATAACAAGTCGGGAGATGTGAACCAGCGTCATTGCACACGGTTATAAACCATAAGTGCTGTGCCACCATTAGGGACAGCTGATAAGAAACAGTCCGCCTGTGTCGCCGTCCGCACGTAACTCCGTAGCTACAGCGACGTTCCTCAATTTATCCCAGAGTGTTAACTCTGGTACCCATTTCCTAGAGGCTGAGTGACCCCATGAACAGTCTGGTTTCGAACACCGGACGTGGGCTGCAACGAGTCGAAGCTGGATTTGAAAGCGAATCTCCTATCGACTGCGCTAACGCAGACCCCAGCAGTTATAAGAGAATCGTTAAAAGAGATAAGTAACGAGTAACTATCCGAGTGCCAGGAAACGCCTGATGTGGTAACGAATCTACCCCTTGACCCCCTTCCCTTTTTGAGCACAGTGTGCGCTCTATTTCTAAAATAATTTTTGATCAGAATACACTAAAGAAATCTGGATTTTATTAATGGTCACTGCCATTGTGTATACTGTCACTTTGAAAGTAATGTAGTCACGATATTTCATTATGCTTTGTTTTCCTTCACTTTTGAATCTTCTGTGAAATCTTTTGATATCAAAGGATTTACAAGTTACGTGTGCACATGTTCATGGGTTGGTCTGTGTCCACGTTCCACGTCTGCTTATGAACATTTTATATTTTATTTCCCTGCCACTATTGAATCTGATAATATGTAATTATTTTGTGTATATTTAATGTCTCCCGACACCTGGCACCAGTCGGTGTCACAACGGTGTGTTAAGTGTATTTAACCCCGACCACAACTGCAGCTGTTTAGCAACAAACAGCCCTTAGCTTTTCCTATATCTAGCTTACAGCAGCTTTACAATTTTGGTGTATACTGATGAAGGCTGCCTAATCGAAACGTTCACCTTTTCATACATGACTGTACTTTATTTAGAAGTTGCTATTTATATTTAAAAAACAAAGAAATATTATTTTCGTTGTAGTACTTGTCAAGAACCTGCCCGCACCAC